ACATGAAATTTTGCACGTCAAATTTATACAGGGCATCTGTCTTTTGGTGTATTTTTTATAATTTTATTAATTGAAAATATAATCCAAAATATGAGATACGAGCGCTAACAGAATTTTTACTAGGAAAACCTTTATTGGGACCGTAACTGCGGGCGCGAGGTCGCATGTTGGGTAACATACACGAACGTCAGCAACACCTGATGAATGGCTCAAAGAACGTTGCGGATGATGCAAATAGTAGGCGAAGTAGCTCCGTGGGTGCAACTAAGCTAGGCGACACTAGACATAACAGACGAATGCCGTAAAAACAAACCTCGTATTCCTCGCCTAGCGCCGTGACACCGGCTCCGTTGTTAATGGTAGAATAAACAAAACACTGAACGCTCAGAGACACTATAACGGGCACGGCACTGTTGGCTCTCGCGATCGCGAAACAACGTCGTCGTTACGTAGAGCGACGTGCGCACACGCCGGCAGTTCAGCGCAGACTGGCCAGGCCCATTCCAAAACCAAATGCTGGCGAGTGGAGAGGCGATGGTGAACGTAACGACCTTCCTTCCCACAGAGCCTGCGTAAAACCTCTTTGCTTCTCAAGAGTCTTGCGCGACAGTCACATCGCGATGTTTGGTTGAATGTGAAAAAAGATGTACCACCCTTCACTGATTAGAAACGCAAGTTCCATGCTTTAAATTTCTATAAATTTACATTTTCTCATCGTGAACATATTGACTACTTAGGAATATTGGGTAGAGCGTCTGGGCTCGTTACCCAGGAAACATAGGTTTGAATCCCGCAGCACCGAATTTATTTTTTGTCATTTTATTTACTAACCTCGCATTAAAATTACACCTGCAATGCTTGTTACCACTAAAACTTAAAAAAACCTTAAAAGTACCAAAAGGTTTTTAAAGTAAAACAAGAAATCTTTAGAAAATAACTAATGTCCAGATACCGCGTAATATCATTAATAATCGTAATAGTGTAAAGTTTAAAAAAACAAGACCAATTCTATTAAGACGATGAGCCAAAAAATAAATATCATATTATATAATATGTATATCTCTGATTTTCTCCCTGTTCTTGTAACAGACGCTGTCGCGTGACTCTACCACCAGTGCCGGCCCAGGAGTAGAGTAAAGGCCCATTTACACGGTGCCAGTTTCTTGCCTATAATATACAATGTATACAATTAAATTGAAGCAATAAATGAGTTTCATGGTCTAAACAACAAATGGTCTAAACAATTATTGCGCGCAATTTATTGCATTCAATTATTGCTCTTGTATGTACAAGAAAATGGCATCGTGTAAATGGGCCTTAAGAGGTGCGGTCGCTCTAAGTGCTCTAGATTTCATTATTGAGTGACTAACTGAAGTTAATTTTTTTTCTTTAAAATTAACAGAAAATTTCAATTTAATTATTTAGCAGTAGAAGCTGTATCAATGTTAAAGAAGCAGGGGTATAATTACAGCTAATTGATTTAATTTAAATTTAATAAGTGTTGTTGTTTGTTATAAATATATTAGAAAAATATTACTATTATTATCTATTTAACATAAAGCCAAAATACAATCTCGCTCTACCTTGATCAAAAGCTAGGTCCGGCAGCCCGGCACCGCCTGCCACTGACACACACAAGGCTCTACTAATGTTTGATTAGGGAGCTCTTTAGTACTGCTTTTTAATTTATATAAAATTGTTGACGTTGTTATGTAACTTTATTTAAAAATAAGTGTATCTATTTAAAAAAATACTGTAATTTCGTTTTTAGTATATTCCTTATTTTTAATATCTATCGAATATCCATGAACGTGGTTATATTAATATGAGAGCGCGTGCGCGATGCCTTTCTTTCTTCATATATTTCTTTAGGATGATCTCGAGCCTTAAAGATTTTTATATTTGAGATTGTAATTCTGTCCATCGGCGGTGGTGATCGGTTTGTCGCCTTTTTCCATAAAAAAAGTATAAGGGTGTTATTAGATATGAATATAAATGAATATTTACATTAATAATAAGTATTGTAATACTACACGTAGTCGACTAATATTTTAATAAACTACGTAGTCGAGCTACATCATAGCGAGTTAATTGTAAGGAGTATCGTCATGTGTCGTAGTCTAGCTATTACACTGTCAAAAGCAATATTAAATTCGAAAAGCTTTATTACTAAATCTAGGTTATTACATGAAAAATGCTGCAAATATTAATTGCAGCCTCTTAGCATGGAATTCTACTCGGACTAAAATAAAGAGCAGATCACTTTACAGCTCCCTGGAATTTCAATATTAATGTCATCGCAATCAAGCTGTCAATGTTGTATTTAGTTGAGGCTGACACATCGGCCAATAGGTGTAATTTAATTTCGAATCGACAGAAACATTCAATGAATGAAGTTCAGGTCGACGCTATGTAATTCTGATTAGGTCTTTACGAACAAAACCGCGGTATTGACAGTCATCATCTCTCGAAAGTCAATGTGATGATGTGATCCTGAGGATATTAAGTAATTGTCACAGACGATAATCACACCTGAAAACGCTACAGGAATGTGAGTAAAGTATTCACCAGTCGGGCATGATGACATGGTGTTCAGGTTAAACAAGCACGTGAACCTAGTTTAGCAATAAATCGTGAACATAGAGTTAAACAATAACCAGGGGTGGTAAACCAGTCGGTAACGGCTAGTAGTCCAGTCGATCATGACAAAACAATAATCATATCATAATTATTATTTATATGTAAAAGAGAAGTAGAACAGGCTGTGCAACTAAATCACCAACTGCAGCGCGCAAATTTTTCAAAGCATTTTCAATCTCGTTCTATCACGTTTCCCATCCTCTCTTACACTCTTTTATAATTTCCGTACGCGATGGACTACGAGCAGGAAACGTGTGAGACGCCAGGGTGTGGTGCTTAAGGTGCTTGCGTTAATTTTCAATTTTGTTTCACCTGTTATAACATAAAAATACGTACTACTATAAATGTATGTATATAATTATATTGTACCCTAAATGATCTATTTAAAATTTCAAGAAGAATATGCATAGGTAGATCGCATAGGGTTTTGTCAGAGAACAGTAGTAGATAGGTCGAAGCAAGTTGGCCACCAGTGTATTATACTTTTAGCTATGATACGCCTAAGTTAATCTCAGTACCATCCTAACTTGCCAGAGCCAGGAAACGCGACGCGTCATGGAATTTTGCGGAGGCTGGTTCAAAGAAAAATAATAACTAGTTATTTTTCTAGTCCGTGTAGTTCGTAAAATATAGTATATAGTTTGCTTAGAATGGCTGTTGCTAAAGGTGTTAACCGGCATAGTGATTGCACGCTACCAATTGAAAATGGCAATCAAAAAACATTGTTCAAATAGCTTTATTGGAATTAAGGGTTGGAAACTGAGTTATTCCATTTTCTTTAACGTGAGAAGATGGCAAGCGAGTAGGCGGTTCACCTGATAAGCGCCACCCATCGACATTTGCAACACCCGTAGGGTTGCGGATGCGTTGCCTCCTTTTAATAAAGTGGGCCCTTACTACCTCGCTCACCAGACTAAACACGGAATTTTATACGTCTACTCTACGCCGATCTTCTGTGAGATCGTGGTACTTACCCGGACGGACCTGCACATTCGTGCCACAGCCGAAGCTGTTGCGTGGCCCTACTCTATCAATCATGAATTGTGTTTCAATATTTACTTCTGATTATAAGAATAAAAATAATTGAAACCTATAATTATAATTTGCTTAATATGTACCTACAGTACTGTTGCAAAATATTTCGCCGCTGCTAAGACTTGAACCTGCGTCTTCCGAATACCTGACCATGCGAAAATTTTAGCGTTTGAACACAAAATCTGAAAGGGCCAGGTGAATCCTGACAGCGGCGAAAAATTTTGTGACATTTTACCTACCTATGCATTTTGAAGTTTCATCTTAAGTACAGACACTAGCATTTAAAGTTAAAAATTAAATAAATTTAGTGCTTAACTACAAATCTCCAAAATTATTTTTGCGTATGAAATTAAATTGAGCCACAGCCACGTGAACTGGTCAACTAGTTACATAGGTTTCAAATAATAATAGGAACGTCAATGCCCTGGAATGACCGCAATTTGTTAGCTGCCATTTGAAAAGTACAGCTTATTTTTTTATGGTGCTAATCTCTGCACTTAAGATTAAACATTAAAATTTATAGAAAAGGTACGAAAAGATTGTCGCAGCTTTGGGAATCGAACCCACGTCTTCGGCATTCGCGGCCTGACGCTTTAGCCACTAAGCTAAACGGCTGATTGACACAACGATGAAAATCTTAACGTCTTTTATATACATTGCATCTCAAGCAATGCTTGGCGCATCCTTTGTTTTATCCTTTACAATAAATATGATCTAAAAGCAATAGCGACATCTCTCATTCGAATAATCGTTGTAAAACGATTTTCGAAATTGTTTATATGCTGTAAAGGATATAACAATGGATGCGCAAAGCATTGCTTCAAATGCTATAAAACAATATAAATAAAAGACGTTAAGATTTTTCGTCATTGTGGCAAACAGCAGTGATGATGAGGACGAGGATGAGTACTCAGACAGTGATGCCGAAGTGAGTGGAATTTAACTGCTAGATTCCAATTACAACTTTTATTTCATGCTTTAAATAGAACATATGTTTTTAAATAAATATTATTACAAAAATATCTGATTTGAATTGACAGCTATGAACTACGACATCTCAAGATGTGCGAGAACGAAATCAGTCATATTCCTAAGTGAATGTTTTTGTATACATTTATTTGACTGATACCTAATATGTTTTAAGTGCAGGGGTGAAGGTCTTAGATTAAACATAATTTCAGAACGAAATCGTAAACATCAAATCTGTCAAAGTGGAACAAAGTTCCTCCGTTTATTTTGACCTAGTTTTATTTTAATTTTTAAGAAAACAAAAACTGAATGTAAATTTCATAACTTATTATCAATATTTAATTAATAAATTCAAAATGAATAACTTTTGCAAAGTAACATGTCGAGGTAAGTAGGGTTATGATTAACACTAAAGTTTATCCTTTAATATGACAATCAAATGTTTTACACTAAATTGTTGATTTTTTGTAACATAGGAATAAAGCGTACGAAACATTTGCTGAAACTATCTAGTGTAAATCAAAATAAATGGAGGTGTATGTCACAAATTGGTTTGCCGCCAGAAACAAAAGCCGTTCCACAGTTTTCTATTCCGAAAGGGATTCTCGGTCAGCCAACGTGTCACACACATCCTCACATGATATCACAAGGACACCTAACATGTGGAATCACTCAAATGGAATACAAAGAGAGGCGAGACACCTTAGTCAGCAAATTAATTGCTGAAGTAGATAATGTACATCAGACACATATAGTAAGTGTTTTCTATAATCATTAGTTGAATATAGCTAAGTTTAAGAAAATAGCATAATTGCTCTGTGAAATATAAAGTACAAGTTTTAAAGGTATAACAATAATTACAGCCTGTATTTAGACATCATAATTCTACACTAAGAGATTTCAATTTCGTTCATCCTTTATTTAATAAATTAATAATAGTAATTTAACATTTGTTTATTTTTACTTTGTTATATTCTATTTAAAGTTACAATAATTATTTATTGGACTCTGAGACTGTCTCCATTTCTCTCTTTTATTTGTTCTTGTAGTCCAATCACCACCTGCCATAGCTTTTATCTTGTCCACCCAATGGTCGTAGGGCCATGCAGCAGCCTTGACTGTTACACAAGTGCGCAGGCTCGTCCTGGTAAGTACCATGACCTCACAGAAGACCTGTGTAAAGTGGAAGTATAATACTTTCGCATTTCATCTGGTGAGTGAGGTGACCGGAGCCCAATTTTGAAAAGGTTTTCAACGCATCTAGAACCCTCGGTGTAGCAGATTTCCAAGGGTGGCGGTATTCACTTAACATCAGGTGAACTGTCTGCTCCCTTGGCAACTTTTCACATTAATAAGCAAAAATCTCCTGGTGGCCTACCTAAAGATGTCATACACTAACGTTTATAATTATTTTTAGTGATTAATGAAAATACAGACAGAATTTTTGTTGTTATTATTGATTAAAATATACCCTTGCAGATTGTAATACCAGGAGCTTGTAAGCAGTACATGTCAGATAAAATTCCATATGTTTTCCGACAAAATTCAGACTTCTTCTATTTAACTGGATGTTTAGAACCATCAGCTATTTTGGTAATGGTAAAACCAGCACAAACAGATAATTATAAGGTATTCAAATTGTTTAACTTATTGTTGGAAGTAAAGTATTTGTGCATTACGAAGTACACTTAATTCGGTGTATTTACTAAATCTAAAACTAATAAACGACATTCAATTACTATCAGATTGATTAGTAGATAGAGAGAGATAGATAGATAATTTTTAAAAGCATTGAACAGCATGCTTTTAAAAATTATCTATCTATTGTATATACATGTTTTAATATTTTTGCAAATGAAATTTTATAATAAAAAATGAAAGTACATGGTCTTGTTCTGTACAGAGTGTGTTATTTGTGCATGAGAAAGATGCTCATGCAGAACTATGGGAGGGGCCACGGAGTGGCTGCAGTAGCTCAACTGAGCTGTTTTCTGTGGATGAAGCACACCCAGTAGAGAACTTCAATCAATTCATTACAAAGTAAGAAATAAAAGTTAAAGTGTTTATAAATATTTATCTTAAAAAACCGAAGCTAAAATTGTGCAAAGTTGAAAATTTGTTTCCATTTTTAGAGTACAAATAATATAGCCAGCTTGTAGTATTAAAATACTTTGTGACATTAACATTTTTTATTTTTTTACCAAAATTATTGCAGAATTTCACAAACCAAGCCAGCAGTTCTTTGGTACCACAGTGAGAACCCAGCTAACCCGGACATCCATAAAAACATCAGCTCCGTTCTGCAACACGGACAAGTTGCACTGCAGGATCCGCAGAAAGTCTTACATTTCATGCGTGTGATTAAATCTCCAGCCGAAGTGGAGCTAATGAAGGAGGCATGCTACATAGGCTCTCAATCTGTTAATATGGCTATGGCATGCACTAAACCCGGTGGGTAGGTTAAAAATCTGATTTTGGCCACATTTATTTTCTCCATTACATACACTATATTATTATGTTTATGATCTTTATTGCTCATAAGTAACAACAATAATACCAATGAAAATGCTGTTTCTATACTTGTGGTCTAAGATCCGGCTGCAGAATTAGTGCACTCATCAAGTATTTGCTGAAATAAAAAATTTTACGCATGTTTATGATTAGGAGAATATAAATTTACTGCCTATCAAAATGTGACCACCAATATTTTTAATAAAGTTATTATTAATTGATTTTTGGGAAAAAATTGAATTCACATGTTTTTTTAAATAAAATATCGCCCACTTCACGGCAATATAAATAAAGACTCTGAACAATCACTGTTGCAGTTGCGCCCTTGGCCGCACCTCTTCGCTATCCTCGTCTGACTATTAATGTTACCTAGCTCTCTTTCACCTTAAATATTTATGATCCTAACCTACGACCCTAACGGAAATATCCCTGTTGTCATAATGATTTGGAAGATTTGAAGATCATTAGGAAGTACTTCAAGTGCAGAGCCTAATCCTACCTCAAACCCCGACAACGCAGCGGCTCCTCGGATATTGCAAGTGTCCGTGGTGGCGATGTCCGCTTGCTCGTTTACCTCCTTTTCAAAAAAAAATTAGTGTTGGGCTCGGTGCAAACCTCCAAACAGGGCATCCATTGATGTCACACTGGAAGTTCAACAGCGTTATGCTCCACAGGAATATCAGAGCGGACTGTGGACGCAGTTCTGGAGTTCACATGCAGACAGGCTGGGGCGGAGCACGCTGCCTTCCCGCCCGTAGTGGCGGGGGGCCCACGCGCCGCCCACATCCACTACGTAGCCAACAACCAGATACTGGACGAGGGCCAGATGCTCCTGGTGGACTCGGGTATTGTATTTGAATGAACGAATGAATGAACACTTATTGTCCACCACAAATGAAAGGGTACACAACATTAACAATAGAAAAATAAATTGATGATTGAATGCACAATTTGGCGGCAATATCGCTTCATAGCATATAATTTGTATTATGTTTCGAAGAGGTTGGGTAGTAAGCTCCATCTACCAATGCGTCAAAGGTCTATTGTAGTGTGACTACTCGACAGCATCCTGTGTGTTTTACATAACTACATAAATGTCACATGAACAAACACCCAGATCCGATAAAATCATCTGTGCAACACATAAATATTTGTCGAGTGTGGCAATCGAACCCACGACTCCCGGCGCCGAAGCCTATACCTTTGCAACATCACCACAGAGTCATCTGGACTCGGCCAACTTCGTGAAACATCGGATCCTCCTGACATCATCCTTCATTGCCAGGAAGAAGTGGAATCTTCTAACGATTTCTTTGGAATGCATCAGATCAAATGTTGAATGCTCTCTGTGGGCTTTTTGAATTTTTGTAAAGTATGGAAAAGGAAATATGGTGATACTGGAATGGGAATAATTTACAATTGATTTACTTTATTGAGGTTTATTTAACTTGCTGTTAACATGACGCGATGACGTAATGGTTGCTCAATTAACAATTATTAATATACAGGCTGCCAGCGGTGGATGTACAACTCGGACATATCCCGAACATGGCCAGTCTCCGGAAAGTTTTCCAAGTACCACAGAATACTGTATGAGCTGGTTCTCACAGTTCAGGTTTGTTGCCTCAGTTTTAGAAATGTTTGACTATTTTCCTTATTATTGTTCGTTAATTGTTGTTTTAAAAAAAATGGGTCCTAAAATTTTTATGTATTATTTATTGGGGACAATATGTGGAAATCCAAATCCTTTTTTTAAATCTATTATCTCTACTGTAAGGTAAGACAATCCAGTTATAGGCGATTTACATACACAAATAAAATCAAACAAGCAACCTGATCAGGAACAATTTATCTGTAAGTTTTATAAATACTTGTCCCGGCTAGTCAAACCAAGTATAAACCAAGTATAAACAATCGGAATGTTTTTTAAAACAGTTTTATTCTTGTGGGTCATACTTGTCTGCATATTGCCTCTCCTTGTTTAAGTTTTATTATTACTCTATCATTGAAAATGTATATAATGGTTCAGTTTAGTTTAATAAAGATCCGATTTTTATCATGTCTTTCTTTTGATCTCCACTACTGGAAAAATGTGTGTGACTCATATAGTGTTTTGTCTGGGTGTTTACATATCTATGATATACCTAGTACCTATAGTACAAGCTTTACTTAGTTTAGAACTAGATAATGTCGCGAAATATTTATTTATTATTTACTGATGTTGCAGAAGCGGCTAATAGAGCTGGTCGGCGAGCAACGTCCTCCATTAGACCAACTGTTCGATCAGATGTGTCGATTGTTGGGAACACATCTACAACAGGAGGGCATCCTGCCCAAGAATATCGATGGCCATGAACTCATCAATGTGAGTTTGCATCGACTTTACTTTTAACTGTTCTCTAACACAGACTATTCAAAGCTCCAATAAACACTATGCGTAGCCCGGAGACTGTAAAACCGTCTGGTTATTCGCTAATACTGCCCCCTATACCGAGGGCCAGTTGTAGGTGCTTTTATTTTGCAACTCAAATCAACTTTGTTAAATTACAATTTGAGTATTGTACTCAAAGTATAGTGTATGACAGGTAGTTTTCTCGGCCGGTAAATGGAACCTGTAAGATCCGCCATAAACAAAGAAGTATTGTACATGAACCCTTATGTGTAGTAAGGGTCAATGATCACTATATTAAAGTGCAAAGTATATGTTTATAGTTTATACCTTGGTTTTAAACAGATAAAGAATAAGTGAATATAAATTTATCACTACCAGAAGTAGACTCTTGAGAGACGTCAACACTCGGAAAATTTAAGTACTTAAAGATTATAGTTAATGATATGGCTCCAGTCCCTTAATAAGACGCATAATCCCAATCATTCACTTACTTCCTTAATTCCTTACTAATATTATAAACGCGAAAGTTTGTATGTAACCCGTCAACCACCGAATGGATTTTAATGAAACTACAATAATATAGCTTACACATCAGAATAACACATAGGTTATATTTCATACACATATTGTTATGTCTTTCTGTCTGAATGTAGTTGCGGGCAGCAGCTAGTATGTTATACTTATATCTCTGAGACAATCAATTATTAACTCCCCTTCAGCGAGCTTACCAGCTGTGCCCCCACCACGTGTCGCACTACCTGGGCCTGGACGTGCACGACGCGCCCCTGGTGCGACGCCGGGTGCCCCTCGCCGCCGGAATGGTCGTGACCGTGGAGCCCGGTAAGGTTCCTCCGTTTGACGCCTCCGTGGCCCAGTTGTCGTGGTCGTGGGTTCGATTCCCACACGGGACAACTATTTGTGCGACCCACAGATAGTTGTCTCGCGTCTGGTCGTTTGTCCGCGTGAAGTTTATGCTTGTAAAACGGCCCCACAACACAGGATAATGTTATCCTAAGTGAGGGCAGTGTTTTTTAATAAGATAAGATTTGTGTGACACCGCAGACAATGCGGCCCAGTTGTCAGTGTCTTCTTAGGTTCGTTTCTCACACGTGACAATCATCTGTGGGACCCCGCAGACAACTGGTTCGTATCTGGGCGTTTGTCCACGTTTGAAACGTCCTTAGAACACAATATAATGTTATACCAAAGTAAGAGGGGCAATCAGTAAGCGATTCACCTGATGTTAAGTGACTGCCACCGCTCTTAGACTTCTACAACACATGACGGGTTGCAAATGTGTTTCACTATCTTTCTCTGGCAGTATAAATACATGTATACATATATTTATGTATTTAATATGTATCTTAAGGTTATATATATGTTACCCGCTTATATATATTTATATTTGCCTTTCTTTATGTATTGCACACCATTAACTACCATTTGTGACCAATTTCCAGTCACAGTTCTGCAGGAAAAGATTTCTTTAAAAAAAAAGCAGGGCATTTGTATATATATTTTTCTGTTCATAAATTATTAAATAAACAGAAAAGTGGACTCCGGCTACCTTACTCACCGATATATTAAGGTGTTGGCAACCATTAAAAAAGTGCGCCCCGGTTACCACACTCACAGATTCATTCCGCTCCCCGCAGGGCTGTACGTGGCTGCGGACGACCTCTCCGTGCCGGCGGAGTTCCGCGGCCTCGGCATCCGCATCGAGGACGACGTGCTCGTCACCGACGGCGGCCCCGTTGTGCTCACGGAGGCGTGCGTGAAAGAGACGGACGACGTTGAGGCGGTCGTCGGCAAGCACAGCCTCTGAAACCGTCAACTTCGGGAACGTCGTCGGTGTTCGAATGCGGCAGAAGGAAAGCACTCGCCGTCTCCGTCAGCTGTCCCTTTCATGTAGAAAAATTATTAATGACAATCCGCATGTCAACTTCGGGAACGTTGTGAACGTCTAATGAGACAGAAGGAAAGCACACGCCGTGTCTCCCTCGGCTGCTGTACCTTTCATGTAAAGCATTATTTATCCCCGACGACATATTAATTTCGGAAATGTCGTCTACGTTCGAATGAGACAGAACGGGAGCACTCGCGGAGTCTCCGACGGCTGAACCTTTCGTGAAAAGCATTATTTATACCAGTCGGCGTGTTAACTTCGGGTAAGAAGTCGGTGTTCGAATGAGATTGAAAATCACTTGCTGCCTCCGTTAGCAGTCCCTTTCGTGTAAATCAATATTTATGCCAGTCGGCATGTAACTCGAATGGGACAGAAAGAGAGCACTCGCTGTCTCCGTTGGCTGTCCCTTTCATGTAAAATATTTATGCCAGCGAGAGAAGGGCTTGAACAGTGCTATCTCTGTCTATCCCCTTTCGCATAAAGTATTTATGACAGCGATAGAAACCTTAAATAGTGCTGTCTCTGTCTGTCTCACTTTGTATAAAGAAGAATCCGGCGCTACTTGTGGAAATATACCACGGTAGAAAACTTGCTAGAACGCAATAATTCCAAAATTAGCTACTCTCCTATTTTATATTTACGATGTATTTCAAAAGCGGGTGTAAATTTGCGGAGGTTGCTCTAAATGCCTCCCCATATCCCTTTTGATTTATATGAAAACTTCTGCTAGCTATTATATATTTGTAAATTTTATAAATTAAACTTGTTTGACATAGGTAATCAAATTGAGGTATATATTAAGTAAATAGTAATCATCATTATGGGTTATATGAATGTGCAGTAACAAACTGGTTTATTTAAATTTGGATTTTCTGAGGTGTATCTTATTTCGTTCTGATGTCGATTAGCAATAGCGCATTACATATTTTATATATGTTTTCTTAAATAAAAGAAAACAAGTAGCATATAGGCGCAACTCCTGTCTGGCCTTTTTTAATTTAATGCATAGTCTCGTTTTTAGACTTGAAAAAATTCCAGCTAAGTCTATTTAAATTCTTAAATGTTGGCTACAAACGATAGGTCTAGTTCTAACGATGATTAAATGTAGTAAAATATGTATATTCCGATAGAAAACAATGTCTTCATCATTTCCTATCTAACCACAATACAAATTATAATATTTGATATCTTTTTGATAGAAATTACTTGTGCGATCCAGTAAATTTCTGCTGGAAATAAGATTACAAAGTTACATTTGGACTTTACACATTAAAGGAAAACTGCCACTACTAACTATAGACAATACAATGTCAGCACTACTACTGTAAAAACAATAGAGCTACCAATTTTTGGAAAAAATAAATAATTAAATATATAAAAAGGTATTATTTGTTTCACTGAACAGGGTAAGTAAATAATACACAGAAATGTTACTTATCATTTACTGGAGAATAGGATTTTTTTCACAAATAAATTCCTTAAACGATTTCTCTACAATAAAAAAAACAATGTTATCTCTATATAACATTTTAAATATAGGAATGTACAATTCATTATATCTAGGGAAATAGTTGGGAGTCAAGGCTTGTTTCATTTCTCATATGAAGTCTCAGATATATCTATTCGAGATAAGGCACTTATTGAATAATAACTATATTAAATAACTAAATTAATTATTTTAAATAACAACAAAATGTAATTGTCACCATACTAACTTCTCTTATTAAGTAAATAATAAGACAATCTTTTCAAATGAATAATGTAAAATAGGACAATTATCAAATTGAATCTATAACACATCAATTATATTAAATTGGAATAAAAAATTGGGATTAAAATAGTTTTAAAAAGATAAAACTTTAAAGTTACTTATTGTCATGAACTGACTTAACACACAGTGCAAACCAGAAATTGTACCAAAGGATTTTCCACCACAAAAGCACTTAACCGTAACTTAAATGTTAACTTACACATAGCGTAACTAGTTTGTTGTATACGTCGAAACCAGCACGACCAACACTGCTAAGTCTATTTATGAACAATACAACCTCAAGATTGTTGCATTAGTACATGTTGTTGAAGCATTCAATTTATGGAGTCACAATTTTTTTTACTATATTATTTAAAACATTGTATTTGCTTGTAATGATATGTATAATTTCTACTAAAATATGGTAAATTGATTCTGTATAAAAATGGTTGGTTCAGTTTACTGAATTTGCATCAGCTATTTAATATTATTTTGCGGAGAATGCAATAATTAATCTAATTAAAAGGGAAACAACACGGTAATTAACTGCATTCTAGTGGGATACTTGTAAAGGTTTTTTTCCAAATGATTGTAGTTTTGTTGTTTTGAGTTAATTTTTTGAATTTAAAATAGGTATATCTAAATGAATAGTTTAGAAATTTTATTATCAATATATAAAATGTTACCAATGACAAACATGGCCCCTGTTTGAATGAGGTACCACTTTTATTATTATCCTCGTAACATTTAGCCTACATTTTTAATTAGCAATTGGTTCCATTTTGAAATTTACAATGTTACTATATCACGCATTAAACTAAGGGAACAGTTTATTTATTAAAATAGAGATAGGCCCGATTAGATTCATTTGTACGATAATATTTGAAAATTTCCCAAAAGCGAGATAAACCACGTTGACTTTCAATACACCGGACCGAAGCGTGCTCCGAATGTAGCGTCCACACAGAGGTTAGATGGGGCGGCGTGACGTCACGGGTATTACGTCGCAAAGATAAACGACGTCAACTTGCATCAAACATTCCGCCGGAAGAGCGTAAATCTTCAGTCAGGGACATATTAACACGGACCGAGGCGTCGGTACAGAGGTCTGAAGGGGTGGGGCGACGTCACGAGTGTGTGTCTGCGTGACGTCACGGGTATTACGTCACGGCGCGAGCTCACCAGTCGACGTCGTCGGGCAAACCGCCTGGATAATCACCGGTGAGACAAGCGGTGCAGTGGCCACCTAAGCCATCGCTCGGTGTCTTCATGTTGTAGTGCACCGCACTTACTAGCCCCTCAACGCTCAGGTACTCGAGGCTGTCGGCGCCTAGAAATATTAGCAGAATATGATTATTATGATTTGTGTGGAAAGGGTTGGGTGAGTACCAACAACCACTGCGTAGAAGATCTAATAGTCTTCCCTTCGAAGCTAGATAGCCCCCTCCAAGCCAACGACCCAATGAAGTTGACAGGCTTCCAGCTTCTAGTTGCCAGCTAAGGCCCTCCCAGTTCCCGCGTCCAAATGTTGACCAGGGCATGGCATTCACAATTAATGAGAAGCGGTGTTTCCTCGTCATTTGTATATTTATTTATTTATTTATTGAAAGAACCACCAACGTAATAACATATTGTTTTGTTATAAAAACTGACAATAGACTTAGGAAATAAGATTTACATGTTTCCATTTAAAGGTAGATACGGCGTGTTTAAAAAGACGATAAGTGTACGATAACTCAATAATAATTACAAGTATGATTAAAATACTAATATTAAACAACAAAAAAAAAACAACAATCACAGCAGAATCTACAGAGTGTGCTCTCTGACATTCCCATTCTGTATAAATGATTGTTTAGCTGACCACACTTGAGGTGTTCATCTGCTGTCTGTGAAATTTAGACACCATTTAGTGTTCTGTATAAGTACAGCGGTCACATGCTTAATTCATCTTCAAATAACACGGTCCAAGAGAAACGTGTGGAGCGGTTGCCGCAAAACAAGCTAGTACACATCGAGAAATGTTTTACACGTCCTGTTCTTCTAGAAATCTTATAAATAAAAAAAAATACTAGCTATAAATGTGTGAGCTTCACGGAAGACCGGCATGAAGTGCAAGTTTTTTACTTCTGCGTTTCGTCCGGTGAGTGAGATAGCCGGGGCCCACTTAAATAAAAGGTGACAACGCATCTGCAACGCTACGAGAGTTGCAAATGTCCATCCTGTAGTTATCACTTAATATCAGATCAACCGCCAGCTTGCCTGCCACTTTCTTTTTTTATGCGAAAAGTTGCCAAACGAGCAGACTGGTCACCTGATGTTATTTATTTATTTATTTATTCGGGAAAACAACAGCATCTCATATAATAGTTCTCCCAGATTATCACATCTTATTGAAAGCCAATTACAGTTTTCCACTATATAAATACATATAGTAATGAAGGTAACACATGTTCAAAAAACAATTGATTTAAAAAGGTAAACAGAAAAAAAAAATGGCAAAACTTAATAAAAAAATATACTAATGCATTATTTACTAAAACAAAAAAGAAATTAAAGAAGGGAACGGCTCGAGTGCAAATGTGTGTGTGTTTGTGTGTGTCAGTGTGCGCGCGTGCGTTTTTGTTATATTATGTTTAGATCTTCCTTTATTGACTTTTTAAATGCATTGTATGTCAGAAAAAATATGTCTAAATGTGAATGAATGTTAAGTGAATACCGCCGCCCATGGACATCTGCTACACCCGAGGGTTACAGATGCGTTGACAACCTTTTGTAAATTGGGCTCCGGCTACCTCACTCACAGACGAAACGCGAAAGTATTTGTCGTACTTCCACTTTACGCCGGTCTTCTGTGAGGTCGTGGTACTTACCCGGACGGGCCTGCCCGTTCGTGCAACAGCCGAGCCTGCTTCGTGGCCCTACTACCGTAAAACTTTGCCACTTTATGTGTTACGTAAATTTGTGGATGAAGGATGAATGATGTTTTTTTTTTGACTTATTGATAAAAGCCATACTTACCAACGTGCTCTGCTAGCTTGAAGGAGTCCATTTTGTTTGCGATCAATTCCTCCCTGGTCGGTATATTGATGCCCATGTAGCATGGGTATTTAAGCGGCGGCGACGCTATCCTTATATGGACCTAATAATGCAGAGAAACAAGGAGTTAGTAAACAATAAGAGTTTTTTGCAATGACATTTAATTTCTTTAAGCAAAACAATCTCTATTTATTATTTCTTAAACCTGTCTTTTTTTTCGTTACGAATGTATTATAATGACATTTATTGACAATTTGTTTAAATGAATGATATCTAAGTAGACTTTCACCTTCGGACCACTATCCTTCAATGTAAGATATGTCAGTGATAAAATACACACAGTATCAGTAGCACACTATATTACAATTCGGTGACAGATCACAGTACTGTGCGAATATTTCTCAACGGTCAACTAGTGTCATACAATAAAATGCTTCGAGTATTGTGTATCGCACTTAAAAGCGACCGAGACGATGTGGCGACCGAACAAACCTAAGCAGTTAAAATAAACATATTCCTCCCGCTCTTACTCTAATCCCTCTCCCTAACAAAGAGAGAGACAGACTCACCTCGGCTGCTCCGGCGTCCCTCAGCAGTTTGATGATGGGCCCTACGGTTATTCATCTCTCTTATACTCTAATCGCTCTCGCTAACAGATGGAGACAGACTCACCTCAGCTGATGCGGTATCACTCAGTAACTTGATGGGTCTTATGGTATTCTAACGGTGGTAGGACCACGCAGCAGCCTCGGCTGTTGCACGAATGGGCAGGCTCGTCCGGGTAAGTACCACGAGCTCACAGAAGACCGGTGTAAAGTGAAAGTATAATACTGTCGCGTCTCGTCTGGTGAGTGTCAACTTTTCACATTAAAAAAAAAATGGTTATTCGTCTCCCTCTTGCTCTAATCCCTCCGGCTAACAGAGAGAGATACTCACCTCAGCCGCTCCGGCGTCCCTCAGCAGTTTGATGATGGGCCCTATGGTGTTGCCCCGCACTATGGAGTCGTCGATGAGCACGATCCGCTTGCCCCTCACGTTCTCCGAGAGGGCGCCGAACTTCTTGGCGACGCCCAGCTGCCGCAGACGGGTGGAGGGCTGGATGAAGGTGCGGCCCACGTAGCGGTTCTTGCACAGCACCTCCATGAACGGGATGCCGGACTGTTTTTTTTAATAATAATAATAATAATAATAATAAAATATCTTTATTCACATAGACGCTTGCGCGTTCTCATGAAACGTCGAAATTTTACAAGGAAATTAATATGTTCGTAAGTTACCACCGGTTCGGAAAGCAGTTTCTGTTGAGAAGAAACCGGCAAGGAACTCGACAGTTGGAATTTTATTCGTCCTTACTAATATTATAAACGCCGAAAGTTTGCATGTATGGATGGATGTTTGTTACTCTTTCACGCAAATACTCCTGAATGGATTCTAATGGAAATTTACAATAATATAGCTTATACATCGGAATAGCACATAGGCTATAATTTGTATACATATTTTTATGTATATATGTCTTTCTGTCTGAATGTTACGCCTTCAGCCTATTCTACGCAGACGTAGTCGCGGGCAGCTGCTGGTGTAAAATAAAATATTTTACGAAGTTGTACTTCTTTTGGCGCGTTTGGAAAAAATTATAACAGTTAATTATCACGACGCGCGACACCAGCTTTGTGGTGTTACCATGGAAACCAATAACAACTATTTAACATTCACATATAATTTCGACATTATTCCCAGACTCCGAAGCAAAGGACTACGGTGTCCACAATCGATTGTAAACTTAATCTTGAGGCCGTAAGGTACACAATTCTCTGATAATACAGTCGTTTGTTGGCGTTTTGTTTATAACCTCTAGAGCAACCGCGCCCTCTATGAGGGGTACGATGCCAGCGAGGGATTTAAAGCTCTATTATCAGGGCGTAAGGTCGTTTCTTCCACATGCACGTACGGCAAGCGTGCGACTTGCGGGGCCTAAGTCGCCCTCAAGGGATTCTAAGCTTTAACGCTCTGCGCATAAGGTTGTTTTTGCTTCACCTGTCGCGCGTAGCCGTGCGCCGCGGCGGTGCCCGACTCCGGCACCGAGGAGACGATGTCCGCGTCGACGGGCGACTCGCGCGCCAACATGCGCCCGCACTGCAGTCGCGCCGAGTACACCATCTGCCCTGGGGGACATGTAACATACACTGCGGGAGCTCAACGCGCCTTTGTATAATTATACATTCGAAGGAGTAAGTTGTTCGGGGTAAGTATCTTGTTATCTCGGATCGTGACGTGCCCCCCCCCCCCCTCCCCCCCGTCCCTTGAATGAATGAATGAATATACTTTATTGCACACCAAAAATGAAACAAACAAAAATTAAAACTTAATGTAGAAGTGATGGGTACAATGGGCGGCCTTATTACTAAGAGTAATTTCCTCCAGGCAATGGATTGAAAAGAAATAATTTTGGATTTATTCCAAAATTATTTCTTTTCCCTTGGTCCCTTGTTAGTCGATTGTCCATCGAATTAGCGGGGTTAAGGCTATCATCACTGACGATACGCCGTCATTGTTAAGTCTAATTAGACGGTAGGCGGTCGTAAACTAGGCCGTAGAAGGGATTCCTACGAACATAAATAAATCTTTGTAATCCTTCGGAATACGTTTTCTGTGAGAGTTCTAAAAGAAAGTATCCATACTTTCTTTTCACACATAAACAATCATGATATATTATGATTGGATGCCGATTGGTGCATTATAGTATACTAGTGGACACCGAGTGGTCGAAAATCAAAAAAATAATTATTTTAAATAATAAGTTTTAACAATATTAATCTATTCTCAAATTCAATACACAATAAACAAAAGTGTACATATTCGTGTGTGTGTGTCAAATACATGGTAATAGTGTGTGTAATGTTTTCTATATGAACTTAATGTATTTCTTTTTTTGGATTTAATGTATTTTCCTACACTTATTGTTTTTCTTCGGTCACTTTTTTTTTTCTCCAAGGGGCACTTTATAGTTACCTTCGAATATGCTGTCGGCCCTCGCGAAGTAGACGTACTCGAATATGCAGAACGCCTGCTGCTTCTCGGCCGGCCGCTCCACCACCGCCACGGTGCGGATGCCGCGCCTCGACATCTCCACTATTTCCCCTGGGAGCACTTCGCGCACGTAGCGAGCACCTGCCCCGGGCGGAATTAATATTTTTAAATCATCTAAAGCTAACAGCTAACGGGATATTGCGCCAGATTATTTTCAACGCACAGGAACAGGTCTTCATCAGCAAGTGATTGACATGGTTTCACGATCGGCAAGTACTTCACACCCTTTGCCAAAAGGTAGGGATATTTAGGGAAAAAGTAAAGTAAATCATCTAAAGCTAACAGCTTTAGATGATTTACTTTACTTTTACTTTTACTTTACTTACTTTGAATAAGTTCAAGTGAAGGTCTCAGCGGCGAAGGGAAATCGTGAGAAGAGTTGTATATTTTGGAAATAATGTAAAAAAAATGTTTAAAGAAGATTTTTGAAGACCGTCAACATCCCCAGGGGAGGCATTTCAAGTGCTGAATTATCACATGCTCAGCGGTGAAGGAAAACATCGACAGGCAGCCTGAATATTTTCGAAATAATAACAAAAGAAATATTTCGAAGATAATAATTATGTGAAATCCACCAAGTGGGGTCGCGTGGTGGGCCTATGCCCTAATACATGTCTGTGCACAGAGGCCTTTGCCCAGCAGTGGGACAAATATAGGCTGTTACTTTAAGTAAAACTCACCAATCGAGAGGAAACCGCACGACTCCGAAGACACGACCCAGCCCTCCGCCCTCTCTTCGATGCCATTCTTGGCTGTTCCGTTCATCAGAACTGCAAACGTCCAATCCACAAATGAGACGGGAAAATTGTTTGGAATTTTAAATTAAAAATGAATATTTTTAATAAACTAGATAGACCGATCTAAGAAGATATGTCTAAAAATGTTTAGGTATTAAATGTGTTTAATAATTACCATTAGTAACTGTTGGCTGATTTGTAAAGGTAAGTAATATTTTAGTATAAATGATAACTGTTATAAATAATCCCGTAAATTATTAAATTCCAATCGCGGATCCATCGTACATTAGTATACTCATGCAAACCCCGAAAAATTGACGTATTTATTTTTAGCATATTACTTGAACATGCTATCCCTAGTTTCACCTTAGTACACAAATGTCACGGTTTAATTTTGTTGGTTATATTTGCAACATTAGTGGAAAACTTTTGTGTATACTTCAATTAGGATATAAAAATGTTAATAAATTTTTTTGATGTTTGATTGCCTTATTTTAATATTAAATATTCGAACAAATTGTCGTAAAGCAAATATGGCATTACAAAAACATAAAAATGCTTCATTTGCAACGTATTAAATGAAATTAATAACAGAATTAGTTAGAGGAATATGAAATTTAGTTATAAATGTGATGAGTCATGCATTACCCGCGGCATGCTGCGCCGACGACTGTTTGTAGACATCTGGAAACGTTTCAACATTAAATGGTATGAAACATTGTTCATTACATTGTATTTGTCAATAAATGGTGCAAAAAAAAACGATACATTTGTTCGGTTTTGCTTACACAGATTAAATATATCGGTTTTTTTTTTTAAATACACAAAAACCTCTTTGGTAATATGAGTCTGTCCCGAAATAATTTTACTTGCTTTTCAAATGGAACAGTTAAAGACCCAGCAGTTCATGCAAACTATTAAAAAGTTTTTATGTGTAAAAAAAAGACAAGTGGTAATAGTAAAGATAAATGAGATTATTAGGACGTGTCATTCATTATAAATTATGAATATCATAATATTTTCGTGAACCACAGATAATGGTTCCGGATCTGTCACATTAAATAAATATTTTAGAACCCATTTTTACACAACGTTCTCTAGACCCAAACTAAGCAACTCTTCAAATGCTAAATAACAATGTAGAAAGAAGGCGTTAAGATTTCGTCGCAGTGGCTATCAGCCGTTTAACTCAGTGGCTAGAGCGTCAGGCCGCGAAAGCCGGAGACGTGGGGTCGATTCGCGGCGACAATCTTTTCGTACTTTTTCTACATGTTTTAATGAGCAACTCTTGTACTGTGGGTACTAGATAACTGATAAACATACTTTAACACACTTTTCTTTTGTAAATAAATACATATATATATACACCAAGACACTAGAAAAACACTATTGTTCATCACACAATATTTTTCCAGTAGTGGGGATCGAACCCACACCCTCTGGCGCAGGAGGTAGGTACACTACCCACAACGCCATTCGGGTCGTCACTTACATATGTCATGTAATGGAAAGCGGAACCATTTTTAAAAGCCGCGCAGTGTGGACATGCGCTAGGTTTATTAAAACATTATTTGCAAACTCACACGACGAGCCAAGAGGCAGTATCTTGCCGAGGCAGAGCGGTCGGTTGCCGTAGGGGTCTCTGACTGCGTATATCTTGTCCTTCAGCATTATCACCAGCGAGTAACTGAGCGGGGCGAGCCTGCGGAACGGATGAAGCAGATTAGGAACGTGGTTTTTAGGGTTCCGTACCCAAAGGGTAAAACGGGACCCTATTACTAAGACTCCGCATGTCTGTCACCAGGCTGTATCTCATGAACCTTGATAGTTAGACAGTTGAAATTTTCACAGGTGATTTATTTCTGTTGCCGCTATAACAACAAATACTAAAAACAAAGGAAAAATTTTGTTGGGCTCCCATACAACAGATGACTTACTGCCGTTCTTATAGATAAATGGTACGGCCCTTCGCAGTCGGGCGGATTTTTAAAACCCAGTTCCATAGCTTTGTAGGCGCGTAGAGACTTCGTAAAAATCGTCACGTAACGTCAAGTTGCGTGTGCGAGTGCGAGTATCGAGGACCTTATTTGATTTAAAATATATGGAAAGATTTTCAAAGTTCATTTGCCCATGGTTGTCGATTGAAACGATTCTACAAAGAATATATATCGATCGTCATGACGACATGACAGCAAAGATGGCGGACAATCAAAATCGCTTACTAATGGTACGTACTTTTAAGTTTTAAACTTTGGGAACCACTTGTACAGATAATACCATTAGCATAAGGTATTTAAGACCGTTTATATGAAATAAATGTTGGTGGGATTGTGAATGCCTCCATTGGGTACTGTGAACCGTCTGCTTACTTGACAACATAAAAAAAAAGTTTAGATTCACAATTTAGTGCAAATACTTTTTTCAAACTCAAATTCAAATCATTTATTCATCGAAATAAGAAATATACATTTCATTTATCGATAGTCATTTTTTAAATCTACCACCGTTTCGTAATGAGGTTCCTCTAACGGAGAAGAAACAGGCGAAAGAAACTCCGTAAGTATCCTCTTTTTTGTCATTTTTTTTAGCCAAAAAATACATAGTTATACAGTACATTTTTTTTTTTTTTTTTAGAAACAGCTTAGGAGCGATCATCTCATTCCCAGGGTTTGTTATCGTTAATGTATTCATTTATATTATAATAACCCTTTTTAAAGAGTTTTTCTTTAATAAATTTCTTAAACCTTTAAAGTTCTTCTGAGATCATAGAGGTGCTTTATTTTTTTTATTTTTTACTCACGCTTTTGTAAGATGACGCTATCGTATAATTGACCTTTGCATATTATACAAATTGCTCGTAATCGCTACATCATTACCATGACGCACAAATCCCGTACGGGAATCGAACCGATAACCCCAATATTTGAGCCGAACGCCGTTATACAATTTGAGCCACATTATATCGGTCGGGGTCGTCCGAGGTAATCAAGTCCAGTAGAAAAAAATTCTTTTAATTATCTTTATTTAATTACGCCCGATGGCGCGATTTGTCAACTGTTTTATTTAGCCATTCGTGTTTCTTTCTCAACTGCCTTTTTTATGTGAAAAGTTGCCAAACGAACAGACGGTTCACCTAATGTTAAGTGAATACCGCCGCCCATGGACTTCTGCCACACCCGAGGGTTCCAGATGCGTTGACAACCTTTTGAAAATTGGGCTGCGGCCACCTCACTCGCCAGACGAAACGCGAAAGTATTATACTTCCACTTTACGCCGGCCTTCTGTGAGGTCGTGGTATTTACCCGGACGAGCCTGCCCATTCGTGCAACAGCCGAGGCTGCTGCGTCAAAAACAAACGAAAAAATTTTTTTTTGTTTATTTTTTTTTTAAAACATTACCCTCACTTTAGGATAACATTATCCTGTGTTGTAAGGACGTTTTACAAACACAAATTGCACGAGGACAAAACACCCAGATGCGAAACAACTATCTGTGGGTCGCACAAATAGTTGTCCCGTGTGGGAATCGAGCCCACGGCCCCCGACGCCGAAGCCGATACCTTGGCAACGGCGCCACGGAGTCATCGAAAATGTCCTCATTTCAATCATCATTGGTGAAGTTAGGTTAGGATTGTCAGTTGGTCACCTCATGAGGTTGTTGATCCTGGCTGGCCAGTCGGGTCCGTTGGTCTCCCCCTCCGGCGGGTTCAAGCACAGCGCCTGCGTTATCAGCTCCGAGTCGGAGTGCGTCGACAGACCGACACCTCGGCCCAAAACCTTTGGTGAAAGCGAAACAAATCACGTATGGAGTGCAGGACGCTGTTATAGCTCATTTTAATAGCTTCTATTTATTTGGGTTATACAGCGTGTCGTTACCATCGCGACAATAAATGAACACACGTCTTACGCAACATACCAATAATAAAAAAAAATATTAACATTTAACAAAATCCATAATTAAAAAAATACATTTTTCAAACAAACTAATTAAGTAAAAAAGAAACAAAATTTGTAACATCCTATACAACGAGAGCCACAGCGTCGCATTACAAGCCTCTCCTTCTAACAGTATGTTTTGTCTCTTTTAAATTCATTCAACCCATTCATATGCTTTGTGACCTTTACAAATGAACTTTACGTTACAGTTTTATACGTAAGGGTGTTCTAAAATTGTTTGTTTTGGAAAATTTTATAACTCGGTAAATATTGATGTTTAAAGAATGTAAATGTTTAATACAATTTTTAAAAGTTATCCTCTATATGTGTGTTCATTTATTGTCGCGATGGTAACGACACGCTGTATATGAACTAGTTGATTACCGAAATGAATTTGCTAATAAGTACATATAAAAAAATTTTTGACGGATAAAATTTTTCGGCTTACTTATAATATTTTTTAAAGATTTAAAAAGAATAAAGTTAGTCCACATTCTTTATAAGAAATTTTTCAACGATTTTTTTTAAAATCATTACCGACAAAAAACGCCAGCGAGAAATAATACGTGGAGATAGAATAACAATAAAACCAGTTATTAGTCAAATCAAAATAAACATTTCTCGACGATATTGTCGATGTTTAGGAATAATAGGTTTCGTCGACGATAAACGGTTCTACGGTGACTCGTTAACGAAACAAAACCATTTATATATATATATTATATTTGTTAAGACAGCTTGCCAAAACGACGAGCAAAAGGGTTTTATTGAAAATCGTATCAAAAACTTTTTTTTTTTTAATTGGCTTCTAGGCCATATATCTGATATATCGATTTATCGACATTTTCTCTACGGTATATCGAGGCCGATACTGATATTCCTATGAACATCGATATTTCGATATACTTCTTCGCGTTACGACCTCCTCAGCGAGAGCAAAAGTCTGCACGACGGGGCGGTTTCTCACCATCTTCCCTGAGGCTGCTGCAGTTGACCAGCTCGCCGTTGTGCGCGACCGCCAGCGCGCCGTGGGCGGTGTGGACGACGAACGGCTGGCAGTTCACCTCCTCGGAAGCGGCAGACGTTGAGTACCTGCGGAGCCGCATATCGTTACGAGGGCGCAAAAAGCCCGTCGCGTGAAAGCTCGTATTTATTATCGTAGTACGGTATCGAATGATAATAGCAATAAAATTATTTATTTAATACCACAACTGAAATAGCCGTGATAGCTCAGTGTCCGGGCGCTCGCCTTTAATTCAATATGCTCGAGCGACCTGTTTATCCCCGGTGCCCGGGGAAACCCAATGAACTTGTTTATTTTAAGTGTTGACCTATCACGTGTTCTGCGGTGAAGGAAAACATTGTGCATATTTTCGAAATAATAACTAAAAATCTTTCGAAGATATGTGAAGTCCGCCAATCCGCAGTGGGGCCGCGTGGTGGACTATGCCCTGATACCCTCTGTATAGAGGAGGCCTTTGCCCAGCAGAGGAACAGGTACAGGCTGTTACGTCACGATATTTTAGGAGCTAATGACATACAAATATTAAACCAAGCTGGAAAGCGCGGCGTGTAAAACATACACTTCGTGTACACAAACGCGGCGATAGACTTTTAGCGTTGTAGTGCAGTATCAAATTCAGAATTACTTCTGTCTTCAAACGATATTTTAGGAGCTAACGTTGCATAATAGACACTGTTAGCTGAACGAAGCTGGAAAACACGGCGTTTAAGAACGCGACGCGTATAAGACGCGGGTACAGACTATTACTACGGTATAAAATTAGATTACTTCTTTGGTGTTCAAATAATATTTAATGAGCTAACATTAAATAATACAGGCTGTTAGCTAAACCAACCTGGAAAGAGCGAAGTTTATAAACGCGACTTGTAAAAGACGCGGCCAAGGACTTTCAGTAGTCCGATATCAAATCCATATGACTACTTTGTCTTCAAACGATATTTTAGGCTGTTACGTTGCGTAATATAGACCCAAATTTTTAGGCAAACGAAGTTGGAAAGAAAGATAACCTAACCTTTCATTCCAAGGTAATAAGATATAAATAACCTTTGTTAGATAGTTTTGTTTAAATTATATAAGAGAAATACTGGTATCTTTTTTTGTATAATTAGTATCGCTTAAAATAATATATTTCTTGAAAAAAAAATGTTATGAGATGTTCACGTAACGTTACATTTTAAATTATGATTCGAGATTGAGAGAAGAAAAAAGTGATAACTTATATAGAGGTTACTGTGGTAGGGGCACGCAACCATGTACAGGTCCGTGCGGGTACCACGACCCCTAAGGAGACTTGTGCGTTTCGTCTGGTGATTGAGGTAGCCGGGGCCCACTGTATTTAAATGTGTTACAAATGCCAATGGGTGGCGGTTATCACTGAACATCGGGTGAACCGCCAGCTCGTTTGTCACCTTTTCACATAAAAAAAATCAGTTCGGAAGCGTGTAAAAGTAATTCAATCATCATTCGCAAATCAATAATTGCTGAAAGTAACCACTATTGGTCAGAAAAAGTGTTAGAATAGCCTCTGGCACATGATTCGCACATTATGAATTTATTAATTTATTAGAGTGCATGTGAGTTGGTATTTGGACTGCAGTCCGTAGATTTGGGTTTCGACTTAGAAAAACAAATGAATTTTAATAAAATTTCTGTTCTAAACATATTCTAAATATTTGTATATGGATAGTGACATTTTTCACGACCGCTTTAATTTGGAAATCAATCTAAAGCAGACAACTGCCTTCTGTATAATATTGAAACTGTCACGACCTAGTATTGGGGTAGATATACTAGTTCTATCAAATCTTTTCACTAGTCCTATAGTAACTTGTTGCCAATTTGGGAATCAAATCAGTGAACCTGAATCCACATTCAAGCCAATAGAGCACTAATACCTACAGCTACAACGTGGCGCCATTATGTCTCACGACTCCATCCCACGTGAACTATTCAATACATGGGATTTGCATCTTTAATGGCAGCGCGTTAAAGTAAAAAAATCCCTAGCAACGATTGCTTTTTAAGTAAAAACCACACCTCATACGACCCAGCCGGGTAACATTCGCACGGAACATTAAACCATAACAACACGTAATACGGGCGAGAATTGCGTCATTCGCGTTTATCGCGCACGCACGACCCGTCGGTATCATCAAACGTGGTCGACGAGATCGGCAAGTTTTGTTTATTTGGACTAATTAAATCCGGCCCCTTTATCTGTTCGCGAGTTCACGTTAAGATATGCGAAGATGGTGACAACTCAAGATCGATATTGTGCAATCGTCAAATAAATATAAATATTTTAGGACACATTTTTACACAACGTTCTCTAGTCCCAAACTAAGCAACGCTTGTATTATGGGTACTAGATAACTGATAAAAATACTCTATGTCGCTGTATTTTGAATTTTCTCTTCTTGCAGATCTGCTATCACTTACAACCAAGTGAACTTGTTTGCCACAATTTTGATGTTTTTTTTTTATGTTAGAACAAGGGATTATGGGACAAGCTAGCTGGCGGTTCGCCTGATGTCGAGTAACAAGCGCGGCCCAAAGAAATTTGCAAAAACCGTGGGATTGCAGATGCCTACCTTTAATAAAGTGGGCCCCGGCTACCCCACTTCGTGAAGTGAGGTAGTCGGGTCCCGGTCTTCTGCGAGTTCGTGGTCCTTACCTGCCGTTCGTGCAACAGCCGGGACTGTTGCATGGCCCTACCGCAGTAGTATATAACGAATTGAATTCAAGCTCCCGGACACTGAGCCATCGCGGTCTGTATCATCACCATCATCACTTCAGCCTCCCCCGCAGACTGCCACGGAGCACAATCCTAAGCAATCATCCTCCTGCATGAATCGACTTCCCGCACACTTGCACAGGTCGTCGCTTCATCTAGTGGGGGTTCTCCACACTGCGACGACAAGTAACAGGCTGCCCCTGGAGAACCTTTCTTCCCCAACGGTTATCGATTCTACGATTGATATGGCCGGCCCACCGCCACTTCGGCTCGCTAACCTTCTTAGCTATGTCTGTATGCCTGCAAACAATGGTTACTACGGTGCAGTTTTACTCGCCTGGTGTGACCGATGCCGAGGTTCCCCTTCAGCTTCCTCATGGCCTCGTCGTTGAATATGTTGTTTATTAGGCCCATGCCCTTGTGCGAGTTGAACGTTCGGGCGCTCTTCCCCTCTGACGTCACGATGCCCGCCGACTCCTGACCCCTAGATTGTGGACGGTGAGTAGTAGATTCAGACGCGGCCCTGACTTGTCCGCACTTAGAGGCCGGACGGAATCGTTTAATTGCGCTCACAAACAAACAACAAATAGTCGTATCTATGTACGTAATGCTTTTCGGCGGTCACAAATAAACAACTAGTCGTATCTATGTACGTATTGTTTTTTTTGTTACAAAAACAATGACAATTAGGTGTTCTCTTACGATAAATGATAACGGAACTCTTCCGTTTCATATTTAGGACCGCATTATCGAAGGCTGGTTATGTATGGCTTATCATTTGGGATGAAAAAAGTCATAAAAACAATCTCAAAGATAGAATGTATAAGTACTGGTACCACAGGGCTCGTTCCAGGGACTACAAATGATTTCTTTTATAAATGTGAGATTATTAGATGAATTGTCGGAAATTTGTTTGATGGCGCCAGGATTCGATCCTGCGTTAAGCCATCTGAGCGGCCGATTTCCTTAAAAGTGAGCAACTAAATTATATATTTTACTTTGCTCTTATGAATACGGCAGTGAAACAAGATAAACCAGAGAACACTTAATCACTGTAACTAACACTAGCTGTCACTATTCACTATTCATGGCATTTAACGGTCGAAATCATTTAAAATTTTCTACACATTTTAAATTATTTCGACCATGGGCGAAAAGTTTTTCACCGCTGCGAGAGTCGAACCCGTCTTCCTTTCGCAATGATAAAACTATTGCTTAGAATGCGAAAAAAATGTAGATATTCTTTTGATTTATTTTAATTATTCAAACAAAGAAAAACATTTTGGTCATCAGATTAAGATGTTAATGTAGATATTTATTTTTATTATTCAAACAAAAAAACATTTTGGTTATCAGATTAAGATGCTGTTTACATGTTTACTCGTGGTACGTTGAGATTTGCGCCGGCGTCAGTCAGCTGTTTAGCTTAGTGGTTATTGCTGCTGTGGACGCGGGTTCGATTCTCGGGGCGTCGAACAACTCTCCGCCCATTTTTCTACAAACTTTAACTTTCGCCTCATCGTTAGGTTGGTTGTCCCACCTGTGCTGTAGCGCCACCAGTCCCAAGCAGATGACTTGGGCCACGTCGACCTGCGTGGGCCACTCCCCCGTCCCAATAGCTCCGAACACGCCGCATTCGTGTGTTAAACCTGAGGAGGCAATAACTCTTGCGTTTACGTGTTTTTTTAAGCCATCATAACCGGGGCCCACTTTATTAAAGGGCGGCCACGCGTCTGCAACCACTGGTGTTGCAAACGTGCACGGGCGGCGATTATCGCCTAACATCAGGTGAAACGCCAACTCGGTTGCCACTTTCTCACACGAAAAAGTTATGAGTGGCACACATATGCAATTGATGTTGATACCTGATTCCACGGCTCCCCTGCCGTACCGCTTGCTCCTTATTTTCACCTCGCCCTGTGTCTTATCGCATTGACAGCTCGACTGACAGCTGTCAATGTGTGTGTCATCTGTGCTGAGTCTATCTGTCACACTCCTGCTTAGGTTACATGGCGTCGGTCCTGCGGGACCCTCCATGCTGGTTCTGTAAAAGCGACAGATGTCAGTTAGTAGAAAGTTCCCATGTGGTAACTCCCCAATATGATACTATAAAAATGTTTTATTGGGTTTTTCAACCCTTAATATGAGATAGAGTCACATTAAAATCAACAATTTCTACACATATATGTAGAATCAGACTCCGACCAAATATAGCAAAAATACGACCCGAAAAAATCTGCGTTTGTCTCAACTCAACAGTGTATTTGCGCTCAGAGGATTCCGTGTAAATGAACTCAATTATCTCATAATTAAAAATGTGTACGTTTTAAAATGTCCTTTGAAAGTATTATGCAACTTTCCTTAAAATTACACTAATCTAAGGGAGTTACCATTTTGATTATCGAATTTGCGAAATATGCTGAATAAAGGTCACGACTAACACGTGAGAGGGAGATCCCACCTGTAAGAGGGAATATATTATAAAGAGCTCGAAGATCTTTTAACACAAGTATTAGAACCGAATAACTATGAACTATTAAATTATCTACTTACTCTGTTCACTGTAACGGAACAAATAGATTAAAAAGAAAAAGAAAAATTCCGAAAACTTAATAAAAAATAAGATCGACTAATACTAAAATGTTTTAACAATTATTGAAATTACAACATGAGTATATCATATCTAACATTCACGTGATGCTCACATGTTTTACTAATCAGGAGTCTCATTTTCTGCTCTCTGAGATCGGAAATTAAAAAATATTTAATTTAAGAATTGTTGATAACCTTCGCATGTGAGATTTACTATCTTCACATTTTACAAAAAAACGTAATCGCAGCAAAAAAAACTATCTGCTAAATTGAGCACATCTTAAAATGTTGTACAATACCTAATTAGCATAAAGCAAGCAAGATTCTTTAAATAGACAACATTTTTTTTCCTATTTACGAGGATGAGAATTTTAATTTTGTTGAGAAAAAAAATTGACAAAAGATAATGAAGGAGTTTCTTTCACCTGTTTCTTCGCCGTTAGAGGAACCTCATTACGAAACGGCGATAGTTTAAAAAAAATTGACTACCGATAAATGAAATGTATTTTTCATACGTCGATGAATAAATGATTTTGATTTTTGATTTTGGTTTCAACAAATTTAATTACAACCTAGGCGTCTTCAAGGCAAGATTGAATAAGGTTTTACTGAGCTAGCGCGCTTACCATCAACTTCTGCATCGCCACTTACTATCAGGTGGGATGGCAGGCAAGTGCTGTCCAGTTTTAAATTTAAAAAAAATAGGTGAAATTCAATTGTATAACGCACTTTTGCTTAAAAATTATCGAAAGCCGTTTAGTATATTTTAAACTTGTTCTGATATTGCATCGCTGTTGAGGTCGAATATACACGGGGCTAAAATATTCCTTTTTCTAATTTTGTGTGGTTATTTTCCCAAATTAAAATTTTTATTTTTTGAATCCTCAACTTGTGCAAATCGACCCTCGTTATCAGATTTACAATAAGCAATACTAATATACTTATACGACTTTGGGAGATATTGCTTTTTTTTATGTGTTGTTAAGCCAGTATTGTTTTAAAATTCCTATTTTAAGATATCAAGTGTTATTTAGGCTAATAAACGGAATAAATTTAACCAATATAATTAGTGGGAGCGGCCTTATTAATTTGCTATGGTTAGTATTGTCGATCGGTTTTATTGACATATTGTGACATATTTTTTATTTTTTTGAAATATGTATCTTTTTTATAAATAAATAGACAGTGCTTCACTGCTATTCTATAACCACTATTATTATATAATTCAACGTATCATGAACCTCTAGAATCATAATCAATTAAACTTATAATTTGTTTACATACTAATTATGATGATCGATGGTCATATTATATCAGAGTTGTCAAAACATGTCAATGCCGTGGAATAATCCTGTTTATTTTATTAAATATTATGTTATGGAATATAAAGGGAATTTGGAAAATTATATATAAATATTCTTACTAATATTCGAAAAGTTAAAGTGAAACTTAACAAATGTGAGCGTCTTTACCTTATTCCCCAAAACGTGATTCGCCGAACAACACTGTGAGACGTATTAAAAAAAATAAGAATTTAAAATTAGAATTCAAATTGACAAAAGCGATAAAATACGGTCGCGGTATTTTTAGCCAGTGGCCTTGTAGCAATACCACAATAAATAAAAAAAAAAGCAATCACGGACGCGCAATTTCGTTATGCGCTATCCGATGTCCGATTGGCTTAGCAGAGCGAGCTTCGACTAAGCGTTGCCAATAACGAGCAACGATTATAACGAACAACGGGAAACTGATGTTTTTAACACAAACAGCTAATCGGACACGAACGCAGCACTGCTGTAACACTCCCCCGATTTGTCGTTGCCACACGAAAACGGTCGACAATCGCCTTTACAAGTTGCGCAGAAAAACAATTCGGGCAGTAACTACGCGTGGAGTGACGTCAAGACGGATAAAAACGTTATCATGCACTGGTTTAGGCCTATTTAAAAATCGAGCGTCATTGAGTTATCACACGTTTTAGAATTATGTAGGTTGTGGTAAGGGGGAGGATGTTTTAGAAAACCCGCCACGCAGCTCCAGACGACGATAATTCAAATTTATCATAAATTTTTAAATGTAATTGTTTACTTTCTATAAAGGAGCAAAAAAATGGAAGATATGTGGAGTTCGCCAATCCACAACGAAGGGGGTACAACGAAGACTTTGGCCCAGCAGACCGACATGAATACATCCTATTTACTTTACTTTTTCTTTTAAATTTAGTACGAGTCAAAATTTGTTTTAAGTTACAACTGACGATACAAATTGCCATCTTCATTATCTCAACAATAAAGTATTGCACTACACACTAAAATGTTCAAACATTTTTACCATATTAATATGTATCTCCAAATGAAGATTTAATAAAGATTTTCTTTTAGTAAATTTATTAAAAAATAAACACTGTAATGAATCTAAAACAATCCTATAAGGTAGACACATCATTAAACTCGTGCATAATATAAAGAGATTTTTTCGTTCTACTAGATGAAGTGAAATTAAGACAATCACGCACAATTTACATTATATACAAATTACTGGAAGGAGGGTTGACGTCATGCAGGCGGTCATAAAAATCATAGCCGAAACCGCTTACAAGATGGTTCAAAACGCGTGCCGACCCCATCTAGTTGAAATAAGGATTATGATAAATTTGCATAACACGCTGTATTTCCCCACTGGGACTTGTAGAAACGTACGGCTGACGTAATAATGGGCGTTTTTTGCCACTAAATATGAGGGTGCAAGTTGAGGAAAGTTCAAATAGATGACGAGAACAATCTACATAGATAGTTAAAGCATTATTTTTGCCGGCAGATAACTGTGTGTAAACAATGCGAGAGCAATTCTAGCGAGCTATGCCGTCAGATCGGGCCGCAGGGGGTCAGTTATCGGATGACACTAGGGTATCTTTCCACACAGTGGTCTACGCTGTTCATAGCAAAACAACGAAGATAAGTCAATCGCGAAAGCGCGCTCACTTGCGCGCATTTCGTTTAAATAATATTTGAGGATTATTTACGAGTTAACGACACACGAGGAGTGTGCCTCCTGCTCCTCCTACTCAGATAGTTGTTTCGCATCTGGATGTTTGTCCACGTGAAATTTATGTTTGTCAAACGTCCTCACAACATGTGATAATGTTAACACATAGTAAGGGAAATGTTTTTTTTTAAGAGTAAAAGCAGTTATTAAATGAAAGTAGTTTACGGATTATATCGCGTTTTTCGATTTTCGAACCCTTTCCAGCGTTCATGGTCGGGAGTTCAAGTCAAAATAAAAAAACGCGATAAAATCCGTAAACTAGTTTCATTTAATATGAATAATATTCGCGTAAAATCAAGAAAACAACAAGTAAAAGCAGTTGCATGGTGCTATAAGCCCACGACTGAGCCAAAACGCGTGTTTTGTAAGGAAGTACCACTTGTAACATAATTATACTTTTAATATATATTGTTGGGCGCCGTTATGGGTTCGAATCCACCGGGGAACAAAAGTTTTGAACGCTTGGGACTTTGTGACCGCGATTAAAATGATTTTTTAATCTCGCCAACAAAATAAGTGCGTAGTTTACGTGCACTCACTACCCTTCATTCCATCCCTGTCTCCCAATCGTCCTACCTACATAACAACCTACCTTCCAATTCTGTGTACAATTTGTAATTACGACGGAACCCTTCGCTCTTTAAACAACTTCATAATTCAGTGTCCTCCCTATAAATCGGGATTGGGCTATATTCGTTTCCTGTCCAATCTATTCTTCACTGGAATGCACTTCCCGTTGAAATTAGTAGGACTACCCGATCGTTATTTGTTTGAGATCAAAGTACCAAAACTGTTTCTGAATAAGAAGGCGGATCTATCTTGACATTAGTTACTCGTTTTTTATATTTATTATACTTATGTGATATAAGGAATCTAATTAAATGATTATTAACTTTAGAGCCTGCCTTCATAGGCAGGCTCTAAAGTTAATAATCATTTGTTTTACAATATACTTTAATCATTTGTTCATACAAGATTTGTGAATTCGTTATATACATAAATAAATAAATAAGTAATGTATTTAAAATAAATTTTCGAACTTTGTTCTAGACTATCGGCCCGGTGTCCTTCTAAACTTCTAGGAAAACACTTTCGCGGTCGGGTCTTTACTTACGTAGAAATCACGACATTTGCCCCGGGAGCTGGCAGTAATCTAGATTTCTATCTAGTTCTCACACACATCTTTATTATTTTCGACGTCCACACATACTTAAGCATGATCGTGGATTCCGTCAGTTGTTTATTTAGGATAGTTATCGAAAAACTTTAAGTGTCGTAACCTCACTTTATATCAAGAGAGTCGAGGTTTATCCTCATTAGAACAAAATAACAATAATCATTATGAGTTAAACAGCTCTCAGCTTTGTTTCTATCTATAGCGCAAAATGGTTTCGCTTTTATCTATAC